ATAGGAACGTATAAGATACTCAGAGGAATTGACAGAGTGGACATAGACGAAATGTTCACACGGAATAGTAACAGAACGAGAGGACATGGATGGAAGCTTGAAACTCAGATGAGTCACAGAGATGTTAGGAAGTTTTCTTTTAGCGTGAGAGTAGTGGGGAAATGGAATGCACTTCAGGAACAGGTTGTGGAAGCAAATACTATTCATAATTTTAAAACCAGGTATGATAGGGAAATAGGACAGGAGTCATTGCTGTAAACAACCGATGCTCGAAAGGCGGGATCCAAGAGTCAATGCTCGATCCTGCAGACACAACTAGGTGAGTACAACTAGGTGAGTACACTCCTCCTTGGTGATGGTACAACCAAAGGGGGACATTATGGTGATCGTTCATGGCTTGGAGATGCACGGTAGTTATGGGGAGATAAAATGAGCACTGCAACCAACTAACATATCCCAACCAGCAAAACATGTTGGAGTAGTGTTTAATCAACGTTGGATTAGTTTCCAACCTTGATTCATTGTTAAATGAATGTCTTTTTCCCAGGTGCATACCTACTAGATCTTACTTGACGGGTAACCAAACATTGTGCCTAATTAACTTTTGTTTTATTTATTATATATACAAGAGTTGTTACATTCTTGTACAGCCACTAGCACAGCACGCATAGCGTTTCGGGCAAGTTCTTAACCTAATTTTCCCTGGAATACAACCCGCTAAATCATTTAACAACCAGGTACCCATTCACTGCTGCGTGAACAGAGGCTACAGTTAAGGATTGGTGCCCGGTCACTCCTCCACGGCCAGGATATGAACCCAGGCCAAGGTGCTCGCGAAGCGCTGGGCGAGTGTCTTACCACTGTGCAGTAAGTGGTATCTATCCCTAGTAAGGCTACTATGTGGTTTCCTCATTTAGATTTTATTTAGCCTAACGTCTATTGTTTGAAAGTTACTTGATTCGATAATTGCAAATAAAATTCGTCCATCTTGAAAAACATAAATTAATAAGTGACTCGCAACATGGTTTTATAAATGGCCGTTCATGTTTAACATATTTGTTAAGAACATAAGAACAAAGGCAACTGCAGAAGGCATATTGGCCCATACGAGGCAGCTCCTATCTATAACCACTCCTATAGGGAGCCGGTCGGCCGAGCGGACAGCACACTGGACTTGTGATCCTATGGTCCCGGGTTCGATCCCGGGCGCCGGGGAGAAACGATGGGCAGAGTTTCTTTCACCCTATGCCCCTTTTACCTGGCAGTAAAATAGGTACCTGGGTGTTAGTCAGCTGTCACGGGCTGTTTCCTGGGGGTGGAGGCCTGGTCGATGACCGGGCCGCGGGGACACTAAAGCCCCGAAATCATCTCAAGATAACCTCAAGAAGATAACCCAATCCCACTCATATACATGTCCAACCCGCGCTTGAAACAATCGAGGGACCCCACCTCCACCACGTTATTGGTTCCACAAATCAACAACCGTTACCGAGCTTCGTGAATCAAGGTCCAGATTCATGAAGCAGTTATGCAAGTTCTTTGGAAGGTTTTTGTTCTTACCATATTCATGGCGGCTAATTCGAGATTCAGGAAGGAATTTTAGAACGCCGGTCTTCCTATGAACACTGCCTGGCATTATGACACCTCCAGACCAGCCCGTAGCTTTACGTAAACTGTATATTTGGGGCCTGACGGCTGAATTGATAGCGCTCAGGGTTCGTAGTCCTCAGGGTCTGGGTTCGATCCCAGGCAGAGGCAGAAACAAATAGGCAGAGTTTCTTTCAGCCTGATGCGTTTGTTCACTCAGCAGTAAATAGACACCTGAGAGTTAGACAGCTGCTATGGGGTGCTTCCTGGGAATGTACGTGTGTGAAAATTACGATTAAGGACCTGCCTAAAATGCTATGCATGCTAGTGGCTGTACAAGAATGTAAGAACTCTTGTACTGTAAATACAGTATAAATAAATAAATTATATAACTCAAGCAATCTCTACTGCACATCCCTGAGGATCGAATTTTAATATAAACAAACATTTATGCTTGCGAGTCCCATTAATAATTAGTCTTTTTTTTCTGCTTATAACTTGTAATAATTGTCTTTTTATAAGATTATAATTAGATTTAGCATAGCAAGATATTATTCCAATAGTTATTAGGTAAATAAACATTGGTAAACTTTAAATATGAGAGTAGATGATCCAGGTCAGGTCAGGCACCTTGCCATTTATACGCCTTCATATTCCATTAATTACAAAAGTTTAAGTTATTATTAAATTTTATCTAAGAAAACTCTTACCTAACATCATTTTTGCTGCAATTTTATTTAAAACTTATTGTGTTGCATGTTCTATAGTATTGTTTTTTATCTGTATGCACACTACAGACTGAAGATCTTACTGCCTTTTAAGTAGTCGTGGCCTAACAGTGATGGTTTAAATTTATCATTATGTGATGAGATAGATTGCTCGCCTGATTCCTCTACATGTAGCAGTGAACAAATGTGTCCAAGACCTCTTGCTCTTGTTACACAATTTGGTTACACAATAACAATAAACCTAATTTGTTTTTTAACAGATAAGTGAACCTGTGAGTAAAACAAATCCTGTCAGCTGCAAAAATATTTATGCAGTTATTTAAATAAAAAATATAAACAAATATTTCTGGCTTATGTTTATCCTATACTGTACAGGTATTTTGAACTGCATATCCAAAGAATACCCTCTTGCTAAGTATTCTTATATACAGTATCTACATCTAGCTTCCAAGACAAGCACGTTATTACTTGTTTGCAAACTGTTCATTGCTCGTAGTGTGGAAAGGGAGTTGGAAATAATTAAGCTGTCTACTTCAATATTGTCAATAAATATATGCTTGTTTATAAAATATCTTTTTTATGATATAAAAATATCAGTATGAGATCTTAATGATCCATGGTTAACATTTATGATTTAATAAGGATAATACTGGTAATAATAATAATAATAATAATACAAGCTATAATTTAAAAACCTTATTACCGAGTGTTTTTTTTTGTATTAAGAAGCTTAGGAATACACAGTAATGTGCTGTTACCCTATTCTATATGAAAGATTACACAGTGTAGATCAAAAACTAGCCATAACTTCATTAATACTCCCATATCACAGGATGGTTAGTCATACATGGAATCAGGGAAGAAAATACCTGCCTCAATACAAAAAAAATCAACTCTAAACAACAACTTCACAATTTTCACAAGAGGTAAGCACTGAATCATGGAAACATTATATTATAATTACTCTTACCAGTTTCTACAAGACTCCTCTCAAACAATGTATTTTCTTTTTTTAACAAGCTTAGGTATACACAGCAATGTGTTGCTTCCCTATTCTGTATGAAGGACCACACAGTATAGATCAAAACCCAGCTACAAGCTCATCCATTATTTCCACCACACAGGACGGCCAGTCATTCATGAAATCAGGAGAGAACAAGAAATGTAAGGCAAAAGAATATCATCCAATATTCCTGAGTGTATGAAGTAATTACAGAGCTCAAAGTACTTCATACAATTTGGTCTGAAGTCACTAATAACAGGGAAATCACAGTTATAGTTTTGGAGAGTATGTCCTTTCAAGTAGGACTGAAAACGGATATTTTTTCACCCAGAGGGTTCCACCCATGGAACTGTTTACCTGCTGAAGCTGTAAATACCAAAACTGTTAAACTTCAAAATCCAGCTAATAAATATCATTAGGACAATTGGCAGTACCTTTAACAAGCTGCCGGCTTTCTGTCCTCGTCAAGGTCACTAGAGAGTGGCCTTAGGGTAAATTCAGGTAAATATATACAATACTAGTAATCGTCAGTGCATCGCGTCTCAATCCTCCAAGCGACAATGTGAGCTAAACAATATCTCTTACAATTTCATAGGTAAACCCAAAAATGTAACATTTTTTTACTGCAATGTCGGTGCTGACCGTAGAAGTTGAAAAAGCATAGTTTTATTTTGAAATAAAATTATTTTATAAGAAAATTTTACGTAAATAGGTGGCAGGTGATCGCCGATGAGCTTTGATAAGCTGGCATTGTGATTGGCTAAACAAAAGCTCTAGTGACATTTATCAAGATTAAAGTGAACTACATCAAAATTACTAATAACTCCATGCAAACACCTTCCTGAATCACTCTTCGTGCGTAGAGTAAGAAGAGTGAATCTACGTAGGACTCTTCTTACCCAGTACTTAAGAACCTTCGTAGCACAGCTACCTAAGAAGAAATATATGGCTCTTCGTGAATCTAGGTCATGGTGATTCCCAGACACCTGCCTTAACCGACTTGGCCATGATGGTTCCATTGTGGCCGAGTCGATTAAGGCAGATGTCTGGGAATCACCAGAACACGAGTTCAAGTCACTCCACTGCCTAAAAATTATTTTCATTGATATATCATGCCATTGTCATTTCATTCCAACCTCAGTATTGTCGAGCCTGGCCTCAGGCCGGGTTCGGGGAGTAGAACTCTCGAAACCCTCAAGAGGTATGCTCCAGGTATCAAGTGTTATTTAAGCTAGACTGGTGTTAAACTAAATATTCAACTAATATTAGCACTATTAAACAATATTAGTTGTTTCATCCAATATTACATCAAGCTAGTATAAGCATCCATTCAGCCATGTGTTTTGTTACAGTATTTTATCTAATTTTGCATCTTATCCTATATTAATTATTTTATCTAAATATTCACATCTATTTACCATATTAACTATGGCACCTAATATTGCCGCCAGCTCCTATTGCTATATAACATAATACAGTATAGAATACTGTACATTTGATTTGTGATGCGGAATGTGTGTATGACTGACACAAAGCAACGGGCTTCTAAGGAAGCAGTAAACTCTTATAATACATTACATGCTAGTCTCAGTGTCAGTTATCCTCTTCTGTAAGATAATTATAAGTTAGATATTAAAAATGCTGTTTTCCAATGACTAAGGTTATAATTTTGTGTATGACAGGGAGAAGAGGTGGGCATAGCTGGGCGTGATGCAGAGGTGTGGTGGCTGGGAGAGGCATGTGGGCGGTTGGGATGGGCGCCGGAGACCAGGTTCATAGCGGCGGCACTCCTCGATCGTCTCCTCCACCGGGTCAGGATCCCGCCTCGCTACCTTCATGCTGTGACAGCTGCTGCTGTCTTCCTTGCTGGCAAAATCCACGAGGAAGATGAGGTGAGTGACCTGTTTCATGTAATGCTACATTATCATTAACAATTCCAGCTGCTGAAGAAAATGTAGATAGATGAGAAAGCAAGATAGGGAGCAGCCTGCAAATGTAAAATTCTCAAGTAAAAGCAAATCAAAAAGATAAAATACTGTATAAGTAGTACTTAATAAAGCTGCCAAGTAATAATTAATAGTACATAATTAAGTCTCCCTGGCTTGGTGCCATCTTTTGATAATTACTTACTATATACTAACAAGATGCAAGAAATATAGGGCTTCTGTAGCACAGTGGTCTGTGTCCTCGGTTTACAACCAAAGGACTCGGGTTCAATCCATGGGCAAAACAGAAATGGTTTGGCACTCTTTCTTCCAAATGAGGCATTGATATACCTGGCAGAAAACAGGTACCCAGGAATTAGAAAATGTTGTAGGTGTTTTCCGCAACATTTGCCTTCCTCATTAACATATTAGTGAGGAAGGCAGATTGGTTGGCCACAAACGTCATACTTAACTGCAGTCTCTATTTTGAGAAACTTAACACTATTCTACAAGACACATCAAATTTAATTCAAGACGCATCAAAATTCTTGCCCGAAAAGTTGTGCGTATTAGTGGCTTTGGGCATAGTATGTACTAGCTTTATCTTGAAATCCTACATTCTGTTTGTAACTCATTTTGAATGTATGTACTTTTACCTGAATAAACATTTATTTATTATTATTATTGATTTAAAGTTACAAAAACCCAACTTAGAACCTTAAAAAACGTGTGAATGCCCTCATAGATGCAGTGAATGCTGAGATTGGAGGCCTAAAATTTGAAAGGGTAACAGGTGATTTTGGACCAGATTACTTCTGTAGTAATGTGAAGACACATAAGCCTGGCTACCCACTTAGGCCTATAATTTTGCAGATCCCCACGCCTACTTATAAACTTGCAAAGAGATTGAATGCAAGAATATCGCTGTACATCCCAACCACATTCTTCCTTAAATGTAGCGACAAATTCATTGATGTTCTGAAAACGAAAGAACCCCGTGGGACCATATCTTCCCAGAATGTTGAAAGTCTGTTCACTAAGGTTCTATAAAGCTCAGTATACGGTACCTGTGTCAATTGAACAGGGTGTATTCCCGATGATGTCACATTGCTGACAAAACATCAAATAACAAAATGGAAACATTAAGTGATCTTCACTCTTAGTGTTTCTTCACCCTCCAGATGGTATATTTGCGTAGAATGGAAAATATCCATACAAAAATTAACAATAGTCACAATGATATTGTATTTGAAACATGAAAATGGTCGGCATTTTTTATTCCCTTTTTTATTATGTGGATACTTAAAAATAACCGAATCACATGCTTTTTGGGATTATTCTTGCATGCAGGGTGGCAGTCAAGTAGCCAAAGTCAGACCACTGGCTGTCCTGTCATATAACCACTACACCAGCAATTGCAATTGCCTAACAGTGTTGGAAGGTTGTGAGAGAGACAAACACCTAGTAACACTCATGGTGCATTTTGGGCACAATTATTTTATCAATTATTTGAATATGCTAGGGCTCCATTGAGTATATTACATTATATGTGTGCAAAGCTTAAATGATTTCCAGGCTAATTTTCCGACTATAAATTCTAATGACCCCTCAGTGATTTGAAGCTAGGCAGACCTGCCTTAACAATATCTGGATAGTCAATTGGTCATCCCATTGACTATCCAGTACCATAACCACTACACCAGCAATTGCCTGAGAGTTGGAAGGTTATGAGACATGCACAAACCCAAGCAACACTTGTGATATATTTTAGGCACAGTTATTTCATAAATTCCTTGAATATGCTAAGAATGTAAACAAAGCTTGAATAGTTCACAAACCAATTTTACAACCATTATCTCTAATGACCCTCAAGGATTCGAATCAAAACAGCCAGGATCATCCCACTGATTCTCCAGTGACCTCTACACTAAATCGTTGAAACAATTCACCTGGTGTTGGGGACGAGGGATTCCTTACTAGATCAGTTGTGATTGAAACAATACTGTATGTCTAGTTTATTAATAATTGGTCTTGGTGTTAAATAAATTTTGTAACTCATTTACGTTGTTAGTGACGTGTTATAATCCCTTAAGTTTTTTGTATGAAAACTTATCTGAATCACAACTTATAGTACAACTTCACAAACAAGGTATTTAATGGGCTAGTATCTGGGGTTCGTATCCTGGCCGGGGAGGATTAACTAGGCGCCAGTCCTTAACTGTACGTCTCTGTTTACCCAGCAATGAATGGGTATCTGGTTGTTGAACGATTTGGCGAGTCTTATTCCAGGGAAAATTAGGAGTAAGGACCTGCCCGAAATGCTATGCATGCTAGTGGCTTTACAAGAATGTAAGAACTCTTGTGTACGTAATTAAAATAAAATAAAAAAATTAACGTTGTAGAGTTAAATTGTTGAAACACTCTGAAATACAGAATATAGTTTTGATTTTACAGAGGCAGTCATTCTCTTATCATATTGGCATTTATAGTGATATTTTGTGCCTTTTGAATATCTAGCAACATGGGTAGTGCTACATAGTCTTTCTAACTTTTGCCTTCCATTTGATAAATATTTACTCTTAACAGAGACAGTTACTCTTTGAGAGCTATTTATTATGGATTTCCAGAATGTACCAGCAACAATTGAGGTGGTGGAGCAAAGCGGCATGAAGTGTTCGCATCGTGAGCTGTTGCGAATGGAACGAGTATTGCTGGACAAGTTATCATGGCATCTACAGTCTACCTCCACTCTTGACTTCCTGCAGGTTCTACATGCCCTCGCCATTGTCACTGCTCCTAAACACCAGCATACCAACAGGTATTTCTCATGAAATGACCACATAAAATAACAGTTTATTAATTGTTAATACTGTATATTTGATAATCTTAATTTACCTAAGGGACTAGGATTTACCACCCTAGTGGCCTCGACGAGGACAGGAAGTTGGCGGCTTGTCAAAGGTCCCCCCCCTTCCCTATGTGCCTTGATGATATTTATGGTTTAAAATAAGAATACTGTATCTGTATAGTACAGTACAGTGGTACCTCGGTTTAAGAGTTTAATCCGTTCCTGGAGACAGCTCGTATTCCGAAGCTAATTTCCCCATAAGAAATAATGGGAAATTAATTAATCCATTCCTGACTACCCCAAAAACCTCACTTCAAACTAAATTTTATACCTAATTCATCTAAACAAACCTACAAAACTATGTTCAAGTTATTACTTACCCTTGTTGATGAATGCTGTAGGCGTATGGAAGATGGTGAGGAGGGGGAGGAGGAGAGGTGTTACTGTTTGGAAGGGAAGTCCCCTTCCATTATAACATCAGGCAGTGAGGACCTTTCTGGTGTGCACTCCCTGGCACGTTTTGCCTGCATACTACTAGGCCCCTTGTTGTGGCTCACTGCTCGATTTTCTCACAACAAATCTGTCCATGGAAGCTTGTTTTTCTCTTCTTCGCAAGCTGTCTCTGTAGTAAGGCATCACATTGTCATTGAAAAGATTAAGGCAATGGCCTACTACAGCTTTCTCTGGGTGAGTCTTTTTCAATAAAAGTTTGCATCTCTTCCCACAGTTCTTCCCACAGTTCAACAACACGTGTACCATTTTTATGCTTCCGAATGATCTCTTTGTTTCTCCTCTATTGTCATCCTCACATGGGCTTTCTTGCCTTGATCCTTACCACTGGCTTTCTTGGGACCCATGGTGAGATATATAATAACAACTTTTATGGTCAAATGACCAAAAATCCAACAAAACACTGAAAATCCAGGTGAAGAATTGACATGGGATAGTCACTGGGCGCGAGGTACTGGTAAACTGAGGGGTGAGGGGCGACAATCGCCGTACCACCACGCGCTAGTTCGGCCTGTACGCGTATCAACAAACTCGTGTTCCGAGGTAACCCTCGCCTTCCAAGGCACATTTTCCGAGCAAATCCTGCTCGTATTCTGAAAAACTCATATTCAGGGACACTCGTATTCCGAGGTACCACTGTAGTAAAAAATAGAGATAATAATCTTTTTGTTACTGAATTGACTAGAAAAAAAATGTGTATAGAAATTGGTGCCAAACAAGAATATCATAAGTAGGTTGTTTGTGCTGGACTCTGTTGTAGTTATCATTGTAATGAGCACTGCAGATAATACTCAATACTCCTTTAGCACTGAATGTACTTTGTAAATTATTTAAATGTCTGGCAATGGTGATACTTTATTTGGCACTGAGCAAATGTGCATTTGGCACTACTGTATGTGTGAAGTGTTTTAATTAAGGTAACTCTTATTTACATAATCAGTAACTACAGTCTTGTATTCAGTGAGGATGCATAAATATATTACATGCATTGCATAGCTTTTGACATTTGACTACTTGAAAATAAGAAGGGATGAAATCTAGCAAAATACGGGTTATATGAAAAACTATTTCTCACAGGAGTGGGTCACCATCACGTCAGTTGAGCTATTTAACCGACCGACTATGGCAAGTTGTGTGTTCTGCACGTAGTGGGACCGTGAGACCATCTCTCTTAAGCCTGGCACTGCTCTCCCTTGAACTGGATGCTTCTACTCCCGAACCAGGCTTGATGCTCTGGCTCCAGGCACTCACACAGGTTTGTTTCCAAGATTCAAGTAATTTCATGTGTCAAGTAGTACTTCTGGTTGACATACTTTTAGCCTATCATGGTCCAGTCGGTAGTGTATGTGCCTAAAGAGTTTAGGAATGCAGGATTGATCTCATATGGCCTCAGTATGCAGGTACAGTATTCTCAAATTTCATAATTACTGATGTCAACAACTCATTTGTGTTATCTTCAGTAGATGATGCCGTTCTCTAAATATTAATTTAATTGTAAAGTAGTTTATAAAATTTTATACTGTATAGGGATATGTACCACCTTTGATACATTTGTACTCATTTACACTCACTGATGTGACCCATTAAATTACCCAACCCATCCTCCTGTTTACATAGTAGTTTTTGTAACTGTGGTACCTCCACTTAAGAATTTAATCCATTCCCAGAGATGGGTCGTAACTCTAAAATTAATAACTCGAAACAAATTTTCCCATAAGGAATAATGTAAACTGAGTTAACCCCGTAACTGTGCTAGCCAACAAAGGTCGTTCTGAGAGTTGTGCTATTTTTTTTAATTAGGCTGTATTTTAATGATTTTTAATGTTTTCATCACTCTTTGTGTGATTGGGGTTTTCCTTATCTGCCATCGACCGGGATTAGGCACACAGAAAGGTAGGCATAACAAAACAAACCCCACATGGTAAAAACTAAAACAGAAAACCGAACAGAGAGGTAGACATTTCCTACAATCCCAAGGAAACAAGCAAACATCACACTTCACTGCCGCGCCGATTGTCCACGTAGCCCTCCCCGCCCCGAGAAGGGGAGGGGAGAGCCCCGGACCTCAACGCGCTGGCTGCCTAGCATCAGTTCGTAAGCTAATGTCAACTGACAGACGCTTCTCTGGCCTCAGTTTCCTAGGCGGTGTTTGCCTTTCGTGGCGTTCACTGCCGTGTGTTGTGCTGTGCGGTGGCCAAGTGTTCTTCATCAGAACCAGGGCTGCATGCACTTAGGGGCTTCCTTCCCTAAGTTGCCGTGTGAGTACTGACCCTGTGTGACAGGGTTATCTTCCCTGGGGCATTTGGGAACCATTCCCGTAGAGGTTCTTGCTACTCGGCATTTGCCTTGCCCTTGGGGCCAGCTAGGGCTTGGGGCACTTGTTTGGCCTTGGGAAGGGACTGGTATTGTGCTGGTTAGGGTGTCAAGGTGTTGTGCGACCTGCCACCTAAGCGGCAACCGGTTCCTGTTGCCTCTGGGGATGGTGTACTTTTGCGGGGTTTTACTTTTGTTTTTATTTTCATTTGCCTGGTGGGGGTCTGGCTAGTGTGGCTATAGTTCCACTGGTAGTGTTTGGTGGCCCTCTGCTAGGCTCCCATGATTGTACACGTCGCAGGGGTTTTCAGTGTTGTCCTCTGCCCCCTTGTTAGTTTTGGATTTTAACCGGTTAGCAACACCTTGCCCGGGCTTCCCGTAGTTGTTACCCTACAGGCCCTGGAAAACCCTGTTGGGGCTCGGTGGACCATTGAATGTGGCTTCCAGGTTCCAACCCGTCTTGTACGGGATCGTTGGTTGCTGTGCCCTTGTCTCCGGGTGACAGTCGCCACTTTTACCTCCTTCATATTGCCTGTTGGGTCCCTGACACCTTGACCTAGAGTCTTGCGAGAGGTATTCTCTGCTTGTTCTCCAGTACTCTCCTGATGTTATTACTGTTCAAAGTACAGGCGGCATCCGTGTTGCAAGCTAGGTTAGGTTGCTGCAACATGCTAGATTGGGTTCCCACTCAGATGCCCCGAGGCCGCCCCGTTTTGGTTAGGTGCTGTTTGCTACTTTCCCTCTCTGTTCCCGGCTCTGGACTGTTTGTGGGTTTCGGGGTCGGGGCGGGGTTTAGTTGGGGCCGAGATTCGGGCGGTTTTGGGGGGGCTGCCCCGTTTGGGTTGGGGGACGGAGGTGTTCAAGCCTGTTCCTCCTGCCAAGGCTTCTGAGTCTTACCAGCTGCTCTTTCTTGCTGCCTTTCCCATGGACTCTTTCTTTTCTTTAAGGGCGGAGGGCTTGAAGGATGGCTCTGCCTCGGGGCCTCTGTTGCAGGTTCCTGGGGCTGTGGGGGATGCCTGCTAGCAGTTCTGGGGTGGTTTGCCCCTGCCTGGGTTTTCTGCTTTTGGGCGGAGTTTTTCGCCCATCCGGTCTGCTTGCTTCCCACTTTTGCTGGCGTGTTTTTGTATCTTTAGCGTCGGTCACAGCCCTCTGTCTGGCTTCCATTTTCGTCTGCCGGTTTCCCGGCGTGGCCACCATGGCGGTGTTGCGGTTTGTTTACATGCGACTGGGTGTGCGAGCAAGCTTCTTGGGTGAGTTTTCACCTTTTTTTCAGGGGTTTTATTCTCCTGTTGTTGTTTCTTTGCTTTTTTGGTGTTTTCTGCCCGTTTCCTGTTCCTCTGAGAACGTTTGGGTGTTGATTTTCCACCGGGTTTCCCTTTTTGTCTGTTTTGGGTCTGGGCCCTTGGGTTTGGGCTCAGTGTCCCTGGCTGTTATGCTTGCTCCCACACCTTGTCCCTCGGTTTTTGTCTGTTATGACCATTTCCCTGGGGGGTCTGTCTGGGGGCTGTGCTTTACCTTTCTGTGGTGTTCTCCGCCGGCAAATGTGGTGGTTTGGGCTCCCCCTGGTTCGATTCTGGGTTCCTTTGGGTTCTTTGGTTTCGTTCCGAGGGTTTCTTCCTCTTGGGCCCCCTTTGTGGGTTCAGGGGACTTTGTTTCCTCGTGTGACCCGGTTCTGCTTTCTGGAGTTCTGGGGTCTTCCTGGCTTGCAGACTGATCTTTTTGGGTCTTGGCACGTGTTGTGGTCGTGCTGGGACTTTGAGGTTTTGTTGTCGAGGTGGGCCTTTTGATGCAGTTTTGTGCCTTCTTTGCCTGGCCGGCGTGGTGCTCTCAGCCCACTGGTCGGCGACTTGTACTTTTCTTTTAAAATGTATGTGTATGCATGTACATGTGTATGCTGTGTGTAACATACCTTGTGTGTATGTGTATATGTATATGTATGTGTATATACATAATGTGTATATGTGTGTGTGTGTGTACTTTTTCTTTCGGAAGGGGTTCTGTTTCCTTCTCTGTTGATGGGGCGCTTGGGGGAGCAGCTTGCTCTGTTGACTCTCGCATGGTCTCGCTGTTGGTGGGCGCTTTTGGTTGTCTTCCGGCCTCTGGTGGTGTCGGTGGACGGCTTCTTCCCCTTTTGGGGGGTTCAGAGCTGGCGGGGTGGGCTGCTTCTCCTGTGCTTCGTCATGTCATCTTAGTGGGTGCGTTGGACGTGGTCGATCCGCCCCCATCCTTCTGGGGTTCCCGTCTGCTCTTTGCAGTCATGGGCCTTTCGCATCTGCGGTTCTTCTGGACTTCTTCAGTCTGTGCCCTGGATTCTATGCCCTCCTCGGAGGACTGTTGTCTCCTGTCTGGCTTCTGTTGGGGCCGGGTGCCTGGATGGTGGCCCTGGACCTCCAGGTCACTTCTTGGCACGTTCCTCTCCAGTTTTCTGGGACTGGCACAGTTGGTGGTGGGGCTTCAGGCTTGCTGCTTTTGTTGCCTTCCCTATTTTGTAATTGGCACTTGGTGTATTTTTTTTTTGCATCTTTACTGGATCTTAGTGCCCTGTCTGAGTCTGCTTGAGATTCGGTGTCTGGCCTACCTCGACGACTGGCTGGTGTGGGCTCCCAGTCAGTCTGCTTGTCTGCTCGCCAGGGGTGTGGTTCTTTCCAGATCGCCGGGTTTGGTTTCCTGGTGATCTGGAGGTCATTCCATCTGTTTCCATCTCGGGTTCGGACCTGGGCCTTGTTTAGGCCTCTTGGGCCACTCATTGTCTTTCCCTCCAGAAGTGTTACTGCGGCTGTGGTCCTGCCTTCGGCTGTACATGAGGGGTTCCCGGGTTGCTCAGCGGTTGCTTGAGCAGTTGTGCGGGAGTCTGAACTTCAACGTGCTGGTCTGCCCCCGGGGTCGGGTTTGGCTTCGGCGTCTGTTTGGTTCCTTCGGGGACTCCCCTTCCGTCTCTTGCATGCGTTGGGTTCGTTCCTCCGGGGATCTTGTGTTGGTGCTGCGTCACCAGCTTCCTCTTTGGGGTTTTCGGGGTTCCGTGCCTTGGCACCTCCCCGAGCCTTCGCTCGATGTGTTCACGGACGGGTCATCTCTCGGCTGGGGCTTTGTGACCAGTGCTCACCAGGTCGGCCGTGGATGGTGGAGTCTGTCCGTCTGTCGGGCTCACAGCACGGTTCGGGAATTCGTGGCTGTCTGGTTTGTGCTTCGGAGGGTTTGGGTCACTCGGTGCTCTACCATTCAGCTCTGTTCGAACTGTTCTCTGGCGGTTCTTGCGGAACCACAGGGTTTCTCTTAGGTGTTGACCTTTGGGGTTGGTTCCGTAGTGGCTCGTTTGCTGGATTCTCGGGGTTTGGCTAACCATGAGGTTCATGTCCGGGGTGTGTCCTGTGTCCAGGCGAACAGCTGTCTCGGTTCATTCCTCTGTTCGGTCCAATTCCTCGCGGATTGGCCAGTCGTCACCGACTCATTTTGTTGGCTCTGTCAGACGTATGGACTCTTGGCCATGGACGTCTTCGAGTCGGCGTGGTCTAGGCGTCGCCCATTTTATGCGACGCCCTTACCCACCTGTGAGGCATTCACGGTGGATGCTTTTCGGTAGGACTGGTCGAGGTGGGGATACCTGTTCCTCTTCTCCCGGTCCAGCTGTTGCTTCGGGTTCTGGCTCAGTTGCAGCCCATTCCCACGAGAGCAGTCCTTATGGTTCCTTGGTGGCCGGCCCAGCCTTATTTTCAGACGCTGCTTGATGGGTGTCCGAACCCGGGGCGTTTTCCCGCGGCTCTGCCTCTTTTGGCAGGTCGAATCGGTCCTGTACGTGACTGGTTCGGCCTTCTCCTCGGCTCTTTGCGTCTGGTATTTTGACGCGGGTATCACCATCTCTGTGGTGTTCAGGTGGCTTTGTTGACGGTGTCCCACCTGCGAGCATCATCTTGGCGACAGTATGACGTTTCGTACGCTTTCTCA